ATCATATTACTTACAGTAATTATGGTCTGTGTGTATGGCCATGCCTGAAAAATAAAACAAAACAGTATGTGGCTGACTGTCCCTTCCACACAAGTGTGTGGGAATTTGTTTCTGGCTTGTGATGAAAACCACAAGTTGAAGAGCCTGTACTTTGTGACTACCTCTTTGATGCAGAGTTGGCTTTAGGCCTTTGCTCAAAGCAAGAAATTCAATTCTGCTGGTGAATACCAGACTAGTCTTCACTGCTTACCAGTGTGCTAATAAGATGCCTAGTTTTTGCTTTGAAACAAAAAAAGTTTTAGATATTATGGAAAATATTTCCCCAGTGAGTGCCCCCACGCACACCCTGGGGACTGAGCCCAGGGCCTTGTGCATACAAGTACTTGACCACTGAGCTACACCTTTTTTAGTTTATTTTGATGAAGGATCTCACTAAGGTGCCCAGGATGGCCTTGCACTTTCGATCTTTCTGCTTCTCCCTCCTGAGTAGCTGGGATTATAAGGACGTGCCACCTTGCTTATTTTTTTGTTTTTTAAGAGACAGAGTCTCCCTATATTGTCCAGGCTAGTCTGGATCTCCCGGGCTCAAGTGATCCTCCTGACTCAGCTTCCAGAGAACATCTGAAACTATAGGTGCACACCAACATGACCGGTTCCCAATGAGGTTTTAAAATCAAAACCACTACATTCTTTATGTTGGTTAATTAAGATACATTTACTGAAAACAGATGTGCAACAGTGCTATGTACTACAGGGGACAAGTTGAGAGATAAATGTAACCCAGTTTCTGCCTTCAAATTATCTTACTTTCTAGCAGGAAAGAAAACATGAGTGCAAATGATATTAGATTTGGAATACTGTACAAGGAAAGAAGAGAGGAAGAACATAGGGTCAGGAAAGAAATATACAGCCTTAAGATTATTCATTTGGAAGGTGGGTGTTCAGAGAGGGCCATGTTTAAATCCTGACCTGAGGGTTAAGGATCAAATTCAGGAGCCCATAGTCAGTACCAATGAAGGAATAGCTCTTTCAGTCCTATCCCGGAAGTGTTCATCATAGAATTACTACTTCTTCTGAATAAAAACCTAGCATACACTTTACTCACCTAACTGGCAGGTGCCCTTCACCTGTATTTATGTGCTGAGCATTATGCAAAATCCCAAGGAAACAAAAAGAACAGTGCTGACCCTGCTTTGAGTTGCTTGTGTGGAGGGAAGAGTGTGAGTAGAGAACTTTCTTGAGAATTGTAAGGAGGGGCATCTGACCCAGTCAATAGAAAACCTGATCTGTTAGTTTCTTTCCCACATAAATAGATCTAGTTCTTTTACCTAACTGGTCAAAAGCACAAGCCCTGGAGGCAGGTGGCCTGGGCTCTGACTCCAGCACCACCACTAACCTGCTCTGCAGGTTCCTTAACCTCCTTTGCCTCAGTGTCTTTGTCAATGAAATGGAGATAATAGTGATTCCTGTTCCATAGGGACTTTGTGAGGATTAAAGTGATATACGTGCCAGGCTCTTAGGATGATGTTGGTATACAGAAAACATGTGACAAACACCTGTGTACCTACCACTTTCTTGACAGATCATAACCTTTTGTCATATTTGCTTCATTTTTCAAAAGAAATAAAATATTACAGTTATGGTTCAAGTTCTCTATAATCCTCCCCGATAGTCTCCTTCCTCCTCTAGAGTAACTACCCTCTTGAATTTGGTGTGAGTTCTTGACATCATATTTTTATACTTTCTCTATGTGTACATGGTATGATAAAAAAATAATAATTTAAAGGAGGGGAAGTTTATTTGCTTCGTTTCAGAAGACAAAAGATGTCCAGTATGTCCATATGAGGGAGAACAGGAATAATGGTAATATGTCTTTTACTGTAATAATTTAAAAATAAACACTCACCATATTTTTTAGAGGATTCAGTCTATAGTACCTGGCTTGAAAGTAGAATCATCATAGCGGAAGGGTGTGGCACTGGAGAGCTGCTTAGGTGAAGGCAACTGGGAAGCACAGCAGAGACACAGTATCATAGAGGAAGGGGCCAGGGACCAGATATGGACCCCGAGGTACTACTCGACCTGTCCAGACTCATCCAGAAGTGTGCTTTACCAATCCCCCTAGCCATCCATGTTCAAATTCAAATTATTAATTTCTTCAAGAGATGCTAGTGAGCCGGGTATGGTGGCACACACCTGTATTCCTAGCACTTGGGAGGCTGAGGCGGGAGGATCACTGTGAGTTTGAGGATGGCCTGGGCTACACAGTGAGTTCAAGACCAGCCTGAACTACATTGCAAGACCCTGTCACACACACCAAAAAAAGCTAGTTCAGAAAATTTATTATCTTTTACTTGAAAGTTTGGCTGTATAAAATAAGAATACATGTTATTGAGTGCTTAGTAATGTCACAAGCATTCTGTACTTATTATACCATATAATCATCTTAGTAATGCCATAAATCAAATACTCTCAACCTTTGCTGCTTATAAATGAGAAAGCCAAGACACGGACAAGTCACATGTCCATTCTCAAGGACTGTACTGGCATTTTACTACCATTGTCTTCCCCAAATGTGGCTGTGGAGAAATCTGGCGCTAATCTAATTTGTTTGCCCTCAAAAGTGCCTTGATCTTTTTGCCTAGATGCTCAAAGAATATCATTTTTGAAGTCCAGTAAATGTGAAAGGATATATCATAGAAGTCAGTTCCAGTTTTCCTTGGGATGTTATATGTCCTTTCTACCTATAGATTCAAGTATTCTTTCATTTACATGACATGTCCTTGAATTCTACTTTGAATATTTTTTCTTTTCCACTTATTCCTGTTCTCCCTTTTGTGAACACACTGGACATTTTCCCCGCCTGTGTCTGTAAATTTATCTCAAATTTGTTTTTATTTTTTAAATTTCCATTTAATTTGCTCACTTTCCTGAATATAGTCCTCATAAGCCATACTATATTTTTATCCTTTTTTGCCCTTCCTTTCCATCATTATTTACAAAGTGGCTTTTATTTCTAGGATTTTTCTCTTTTTCTTCCTTTCTGAATCCTGTTAGCTTATTTTACATTTCCTTCTGTTGCCTCAGCATTTCTTCTGCTTTGAGGTCTTATTTTAAACTGTTTCAGTGAATTCTTTTTATTCACAGCAATATGTTCAGTCAGCTTCATGGTAACATTTTTCTGGAAAATTTCTTTAACATTTGCACTCTCTATTCCATTCTTTATACTCTTTCCTTCCTCCCTCCCTCCCTTTCCACCACTCTCCCCCTCTTTTAGGGCACTGAGCAATATCCCCCAGCCTTTTCTACTTCTTTTTTTAATTTTGAGGCTGGGGACTGGGCATCATGGTGCAGTCCTGTAATCCCAGCACTCAGCAGACAGGCAGGAGGATTGCTGTGAGTTTGAGGCCAGCCTGAACTACATAGCAAGACTATGTCTCAAAAAAAAAAAAAAAGACTTGAGTCAGGGTCTCACTAAGTTGCTAGGCTGGCCTTGAACTTACCATCTTTCTGCCTCAGCCTCCTGAGTAGCTAGGATTATAGGCAGGTGTGACTGTGTCCAGCCTTCCTAATTCTTATAAATTTACTATATAGATTTCTTGCTTGTATTCTTTTGATATTTACTCATTCTTGTGTTTTTTGTTTTGTTGTTGTTGTTGTTGTTGTTGTTGTTGTTGTTTGGGACACACTCTTGCTATGCAGTTCAGGCTGGCCTTGAACTCACTATGTAGCCCAGGCTGGCCTCAAACTCATGGCAATTCCCCTGCCTCAGTCTTCCAAGTGCTGTGGTTACAGGCATCTGCCACAACGCCTGCCTATTAGTCATTTCTATGTAAAATGAGTCTTCCCCAACCAGCCATTCGTGCATTTGTATGAAGCAACTAGTACAATGAAGCTGCCTGTGATTCTGAGTGTGTGTGTGTGTGTGTGTGTGTGTGTGTATCTGTGTTGTGTGAGAAAGAAGGAAAAGGTGAGGTAGAAAGACTGAGATACACAGATTGGCTTAGGTTCTATCTTTCTAGTGGTTACAGTGCTGCTCATAACATAGTCTTCTAGCTCTAGTTTGTCAATAAATTGCCTCCCACAAATAAATATTAAAGGATTTTATCTCTATTACATGAGCAGTCACCTCTGCCCTGTACTACTGCCTTGTACTCCTTGTTTCATGATGCCACATAGAGTCTTGGGAAGTTCCCACAGCTTGTGCCCCTGATGCCTTCATTGTAAACCAAGGTGGTATTTGTGTTCCTCAGATTCTCTCCTACCTGGTGCCCTGCTAACTTTGAGAACTGAGGTCACAGCAGGTACTTGATCTCACCCTCCTTCTGGACTCTGGTGTAATCTCTGTTGAATTTAGTACATCATCCTTATTTATGGTGCCTGGAGTCAAAGGATATCTTGTTTATCAAAGAGAATTTGCATTCATTTTTCTCCTCTTGTTTTTGTGTGATCTCAAGGATGAAAAAAGTAGCAGATAAAACTTTATTTTGTTGTTTTAAGTTATTGTGTTATTTTAAACTTTTAATTTTACTTTAAAATCAGAGTCATTATTTTTAAATAGCCTCATCTGGGTGTACCTATAATCCCAACATAGTTTGTAATCCCAGCTGAAGCAGGAGGATCACAAGTTCAAGCCTTGCTTGGGCAGCTTAGCAACTTAGCGAGACACTGTCTTAAAATTTTAAAAAGGGCTGGGGGTGTAGATTAGTGCAAAGGCCTTGAATTCAGACTACAATAAACCAAAGGGAGCGGGGAGTATGCCTCTGTTCTTAGAGAGAGTAAAAACCATGTTAAATGGGAAAAATCATTCCAGAATTCTGTGCACATCCTAGGAGCAGTGAACCTTAGCATATTGCAAGTTAGAATCAGAGCTTGGATTCAAATCCAGGTCTGTCTAAATCCAAAGCCTGAGTTCTTTCCTTGAGAGAACTTTGTCTTTGCCAGATGTTTCTTCTTATGAGCATTTTAAATTAACTACTTCTTTATTTCTTGGTTTTTAGTGTGACAAGTACAAGACTGGAGTTATTGATGGGCCAGCATGTAATAGCCTTTGTGTTACAGAATCTCTTTATTTTGGAAAATGCTTATCCACCAAGCCCAACAATCAGGTATGGACATTGAAAATAAACATCACAGAATGTCAATGAGCTCTAATTTTATCTTAAACTAAAAGCTTCATTAAAATAATTTTTTTTGCTGTTTTTTGGTTTTTGGTACCGGAGATCGAACTCAGGACCTTGTGCTTTCGAGGCAGGCGGCAGCACCACTGAGCTAAATCCCCAGCCCCATTAAAATAACTCTTGAACAAGAGATTTAGGACATTACATGTATTTTAAGTTTGAATGCTTTGATTCATTCATTCAAAAAATATGAATTCCCTAGTCACAGAATATTCCAGACATTGTTTTAATTATTAGAAATACAATGATGGTTAAGACAAACAAGATTACTTCCTCTATGAACCTTACATTATCCCACAGGGAAGCAGATACAAATGGTTGGTAGATAAGTAAAAGTAAACAAGGTAATTATGAAATATGGAGTGTTCTATGTAGAGATCCACAGAGTGAACTGATAAAAGAATGCAAGGAGTGAGCTAGCCCAGATGTGCTTTAGAGGAAGGAAGCCTTCAGGGAAAATCTTTCAGAGATCACATCTGAGCTCATACTTGAATGTAGAATTAAACTATAGCCACAGGATGATCAAAATCATAAAAGAGCCACAAACAACTGGTAAACATAATGAAAAAAGTTATGTCTCACTTATCATCTAAGAAATATAAATAAAAACAATAAAATACCATTGAACTAGAAGAAAATACAAAACATCCTTGGGCCCCCAATGGAAATTGCATTTTTTCCCCCTCCAGTAGGGGGGATTGAATCCAGGATCACTGTACACTGAAGTAAATCTCCAGTGTTTTTGTTGGGGTTTTTTTTTGGCGGGGGGGGACTCAAGCACTCCCTAAATTGCCCAGGCTGGGATTGAACTCACAGTTCTTCTGCCTTCATCTCCCAGAGTTCTGGGATTGCAGGCATGCACCCCTGTGCCCAGCTGTACTTTCTGTTCTAATATGAGAGAAGATGCATAATAAATGAGTGGATAGACACATAAGTAATGTCAGACAGTGCTAAAGGGTATGAGGAAAACAAAGCAAGGTCCCGAGTTCAATCCCTGGTACCAAAAACAAAATTATAAGGGCTAGAGATTTAGCTCAGTGGTTCTGCCACCTTCCTCGAAAGGGTATGAGGAAAACAAAACAAGATAATGAGTTAGAGGCAACTCAGGGATAGAAGAACCTAATGTAAGATAAGGGGATTAGGAAAGGCCTTTCAAAATGATATTTGAGTGGACCTTCGAATGATGTAAAGAAGCCAGCCAAGGAAGATCTATAAGAGTACATTCCAGAAGGAACCAATAGCAAGTGAAGCAGACCATGAAGCAGAAGGAAGCTTGGTAGGTTCCAAAAGGAGAAAGACCGGAGGGGCATAGAAAGCCAGGGAGAAAGTGTTATAAGATCAGGTTGGAGAAATAGACCAGTACAGCTCAACAGGCTAGGAAAAGGCTATGAGCTTTATTCTAATTGAATTGAGAATTCATTGGAAAATTGATGAGATGTAATCTTTGTATTAATATTATTATTAATTAATACGACCATTTTTAGGTGCTAGAGATTGAACCCAGGCCCTTTAACATACTAAGAACACACTCTGCCATGGCATTGCATCTTGCTCTTTTTACTTTTTGTTTTGTTTTGGGGTTTTTTGGTTTACTTTTTGTTTTGGTTTGGATTTTTTGGTACCAGGGATCGAACTCAGGACTTTGTGCTTGCCAGGCAGGCACTGTGCCACTGAGCTAAATTCCCAGCCCTCTTTTTACTTTTTGAGACAGGGTCTCAGTAAGTTATTCAAGTTGGCCTCAAACTTGCAATCCTCCACAGCCTGCTGAGTAGCTGAGGTTACACCATGCCCATATCCTGGTTTG